TATGTATACGTGGGATATATATACGTGGTATATATGTACGTGGTATATATGCACGTGGTTTATATGTATGTGGTATATATGTACGCGGTATATATGTATGTGGTTTATATGTGCGCGGTATGTATGCACGTGGTATGTATGTACGTTGTATGTATGTCCGTGGTATGTATGTACTGGTATATATGTACGTGGTATGTATTTTCGTTGTATGTATGTGCGTGGTATGTATGTACCTAGTATGTTTCTACGTGGTATGTATGTACGTGGTATGTGTGTAAGTGGTGGTATGTATGTACGTGGTGGTATGTGTGTACGTGGTGGGATGTATGTACGTGGTATGTATGTACGTGTTATGTTTGTGCGTGGTATGTATGTAAGTGGTATGTATGTACGTGGTATATACGTACGTGGTATGTATGCACGTGGTATATATGTACGTGGTATATATGTATGTGGTTTATATGTGCGTGGTATGTATGCACGTGGTATGTACGTGGTATATATGTACGTGGTCTGTTTGTACGTGGTATATACGTGGTATGTTTGTACGTTGTATGTATGTACGTGGTGGTATGTATTTACGTGGTATGTATGTACGTGGTATGCTTGTGCGTGGTATGTATGTACGTGGTAAGTATGTACGTGGTATGTATGCACGTGGTATGTATGTACGTTGTATGTTTGTGCGTGGTATGTATGTCCGTGGTATGTATGTACTGGTATATATGTACGTGGTATGTTTTACGTGGGATATATGTACGTGGTATGTATGCACGTGGGATGTATATACAATATATATGTACAGTGATGATACAAATATTGTCAAAATATGCAAAAAACAGCGATAAATATTCAACCTGGTTGGAAACCTACAATGTTGGCAGTTATGTACGTGGTATGTATTACGTGGTATGTATGTGCGTGGTATGTATTGACCAACTCGTCGTCATTCAATAGAGAACTCAGTAGAGCGTGCCGGTCAATCGACTGTACAGGTAACTGTCCGAGCGGTAACAGTACTCTCCTGTGTATGTACGGGGTATGTATGTGCGTTGTATGTATGTACGTGGTGGTATGTATTTACGTGGTATGTATGTACGTGGTATGTACGTACGTGGTATGTTTGTGCGTGGTATGTATGGACGTGGTATGTATGTACTGGTATATATGTACGTGGTATGTATACGTGGGATATATATACGTGGTATATATGTACGTGGGATGTATACGTGGTATATATATACGTGGTATATATGTGCGTGGTATGTTTGTACGTGGTATATGTGTACGTGGTATGTATGTACGTGGTTTATATGTACGTGGTATGTTTGTACGTGATATATATGTACGTGGTTTGTATGTACGTGGTATGTATGTACGTGATATGTATGTACGTGGTATGTTTGTACGTGATATATATGTACGTGGTTTGTATGTACGTGGTGGTATGTATGTACGTGATGGTATGTGTGTACGTGGTGGTATGTATGTACGTTGTATGTTTGTGCGTTGTATGTATGTACGTGGTGGTATGTATTTACGTGGTATGTATGTACGTGGTATGCTTGTGCGTGGTATGTATGTACGTGGTGGTACGTATGTACGTGGTATGTATGTACGTTATATGTATGTACGTGGTATGTATGTACGTTTTATGTATGTACGTGGTATGTATGTACGTGATATGTATGTACGTGGTATGTATGTATGTGGTATATATGTACGCGGTATATATGTATGTGGTTTATATGTGCGTGGTATGTATGCACGTGGTATGTACGTGGTATATATGTACGTGATATATATGTACGTGGTATGTATGTATGTGGTATATATGTACGTGGTATATATGTACGGGGTATGTTTGTACGTGGTATATATGCACGTGGTATGTTTATACGTGGTATATATGTACGTGGTATGGATGTACGTGGTGGTATGTATGGCACAGAGAGATGCGTATCGAAAGCAGTGCCACATTGACCAACTCGTCGTCATTCAATAGAGAACTCCGTAGAGCGTGACGGTCAATCGACTGTACAGGTAACTGTCCGAGCGGTAACAGTACTCGCCTGTGTATGTACGGGGTATGTATGTGCGTGGTATGTATGTACGGGGTATGTATGTACCTGGTCTATATGTACGTGGTATGTATGTACGGGGTATGTATGTACCTGGTCTATATGTACGTGGTATGTATGTACGGGGTATGTATGTACCTGGTCTATATGTACGTGGTATGTATGTACGGGGTATGTTTGTACGTGGTATATATGCACGTGGTTTATATGTATGTGGTATATATGTATGTGGTATATATGTATGTGGTATATATGTACGCGGTATATATGTATGTGGTTTATATGTGCGCGGTATGTATGCACGTGGTATGTATGTACGTGGTATATATGTACGTGGTATGTATGCACGTGGTATGTATATACAATATATATGTACAGTGATGATACAAATATTGTCAAAATATGCAAAAAACAGCGATAAATATTCAACCTGGTTGGAAACCTACAATGTTGGCAGTTTTACCGACACGCATACCAGTCCATTACACTGTTGGATGTCCGGAAACACATGGAAATTCAATTTCTTACGGAGCACCTGACGGACGACATATCAGCATTGACGCCATCTTGAATATAATCAGATTGATATTTATAAAACAACGAACTTTTAAAAAAAATAGTTATAGATATGTATGAAAATATCACGTTCAAAACCTTACCAACAGTAGACAAGAGAGAAATCGGTCGGTAGTTTGAAGGAGAATGTCTTATCACCTTTTTTAATAATGGCATAACTTTTGCAAGTTTCCACAATTTAGGATAAACAACAGCAGACAGTGATATTAAATAGTAACTCGAGAGGTTTACAAATAGTATGACAACATTTTTTAACATGTAATGGCTTATTTCGTCCTGGCCCGAGGCTTTGCCGAGTTTCAGTATTTGTAGGACATAAATAATTTCAGTGTAATTTAATCTAATTGAATCAAAAGTTTTATTTGTTTTCGGCGCAATATCCGAAACCTGAACTTTACGCTCGTCAATACGAGTTATACTACAGAAATATTCATTTAATAAGTTGGATTTACCTTCATCACTACTAATTATATTCTCAGTTACTGGATCTACTAGAGTTGGTATAGTCTGTGATGTACCACTAGATTGCATCAATCGTTTAATCAATCTCCAATACGTTTTAGGATCAGAAGAAAAATAATCATCAATGATGCTATGGATTTGTTTCATAAAAATTTAAAAGAACTATACTTTTTCATATTATTTATCTTATTACGCTGACTTTTAAACTTTTGAATGTCATGAAGACGGTTTGATTTTCTAGCAATTTTATGTAACCTATCCCGATTTCTTATATTTTTTCTTAATTCCGAAGTCATCCAAGGTTTATCATTTGGCTTGATTATAACTTCTTTAGTAGGTATACCGTGGAGATTTGATGAATATCGCATGACAATATTTTTTTTAGCAATAAAACAAGAACAATATTATTTTGCTTATAGCGTATAGTACACTTGAATAAACAGCTGTCTTAAACAACGTGGCGAAAGAATCTGTCTTGTTAATAAAATTCAATCGTTTGCCTATAGAACGTGTTTTACAATAATAAATACCAATGGCGCACCGCCATGTTTCAGTACAACATTCCTCCCATCAAGGAGGGTAAAAATGACAATTTCTAGTAATATCTTTCAGGCTCATAAAAATATGAAGTCATCCGATGAACAGGATACTATCTATTTCGCATTGCCGGTTTCTTGTACTGATACTACAACATCGTCAGTGATATGTCTTCAGTGTACAGCATACATGTCAACGTCCGTCTTTGCGTATTGCAGAGTTATCTTCTCTTGTGAGCAGGTATTGATTGTTACGTCATTGGTTTGTGTGTGAAAATTACGTCGTTTTCTCAAAAATTAATGACGTTACTCCAGAGACGTATAAAGCCATGTGTTATATACGTCTCTGGTTACTCTCACAAACAAATGACGTAACAATCAATACCTGCTCACAAGAGCAGATAACTCTGCAATACGAAAAGTCGGAATTAGACCCACCATCTAATATTTTGGGTAAAGATTTAGCTTCTCTTAATTCTATCGCGGAATGCACATTCACATTTACAAAAAATGTATAAAAAATCATTAAAACCACCACTCTCTCTCATGGTACCAATGCCCTCGTACAACCAGAATAACTTACATAATAAACGGGCCTCGCGTTTCGGATATCTTTATAATTAAGTGCATACGAAACCAGAAACATACGTATCTCTCTGATGAAACTCAGGTTACTGTGATCATTGATTAACTCCTTACCTGTTTTTTTTTACCCTTGTCTTTTATTAAACGTAGAAATATGATTATGCAGCTCGTCACTTAAAAATGAAAATACGTTTTTTTTTCATAAGTGTTAATGGTTAAATATCGAAGTCCGTCAAATAAGGCCTATGTATCTATACTACATATATTCCTGCTCTGATTAGGGGGATAAGCAGTGCAGACTGTACAGGGGAGGGGCTCGCGTGGGGATCAGTTTGAGTAGAGTTGGTTAAAATTCGGTCTAAACTGAATGTCCCAATCACTCCACTCCCCTAATGTTGCTGTCAGACATGTAACATGTACGTTGTATTTAAGCATTGAACTGCTTTCAGTTGGAATTCATAGGCAATATGAATGCCAACTGGACAAATGCAAATTCAACGAAGCGCGCTAGCTAACGCGATAGTTGATAACGGGATTTAATATATATTTGGATAGCTTATACGGTAACTGTTGGAAAGATAGGAATTCCCCTAGTTTTCCACTTTATACACATTTTACAACAGTATATACGGTACCTGTGTGGAAAGATAGGGAATTCCCCTAGTTTTCCACTTTATACACATTTTACAAGAGTATATACGGTACCTGTGTGGAAAGATAGGGAATTCCCCTAATCTTCCCGAGTTTCAACTGATATAAAACCAAGCGCTAGATTTAGACGACATAGGCCCGGATAGTGGAGGATCGAGTGGAGGCGTGATCGCCGCGTCATGCCTCCATACAGGGCAATGCTCAGAGTACAGCTCCTGGGGAAAGTCGCAGAGGCGCAAAGATAGTTGCGTTGATAAAAAATAGCTAAACGGTAAGATTGATTCTTTTAAAGTTTTTAATTTCTCCCTTTTTTGTGTAAAAGTATGCTTCTATCATATCATTTTCATAATTTGAATTGTATTCTGTGGAAGGTATATATTGTTTAAATATATTCGAAAAAATCGATCACATAATGCTTCCTACGTTTATTTTCAATAATTCAATTTTTGTTAGATAGAAGCAATTTTATTCCGTGTTAATATTCAACAATTTATAATCATGCACTGTAAATATTTTTTGTCACAAAATCTATTTTGATTTTATTTCAGTTAAATTAAAATTAAAATTTTACATAAACATTAACAAAGTTCGTGTCGGAGCAAGGCAGGTTTCGGATTTTCCCATAAGTTTGGTCATAAGACTATTAGTATATCGATTTCATTTTTGCAGCACCATGTTGGAATTCGATCCTGTACGAGTTGTTTCCCTTGTGCGACACTTGACCTTTGCTCTTTGACCTGTTGCAACACGACCTGAAACCCAAACACAGCAATACACGGTCTATGAACAGCATTGAGACTGACGATTACACTGTAAACTTTGGTATGTATACTCGAATGTGCTTTCTTTGATATGTGTTGAAATTAACATGAAAAATAATTGGTTGTACACAGGTCACTTCCTGAACAAACAGGCCTAGGAATGTCAGGATATTCGGCGCAACTAAACACTCGTATAGTTCAATCATTCAATCCACAAATACGTAGTGCATTTTCCAAATTTGTATTTACACATTTATAGTGGTCTTTTGGCTTTATGTTGACACAAATTCTAAAACTATATTTGCTGATTAAATCACAAGGGTTCCTTACACAAGTAATGTCTAAAATACAAAGACTGATAAATTGGTCACAGCGTAAACTAAATGCAGACTTTGAACTTGTCCAACAGTTTGGAACAGTATAATGGAAAGCGTATCATAATTATAAGTAGCCAATTACCGTATTCGTCATAGGAAGCACCCATGCTTGGAAACATCAGAAAGAGGGGTATACTTGTAAGGAAAATTAAACGAGAATTTTTAGTTCTTGGTGGGTGTTGTTGTGTTGATATTGAGAAAATCATGTTTTTTTTTTGACCTGCTTAATTGAAATCGGAGTATTGACTGGCTTTGAAATTGGCCGGAATCATTCCTCTCTAATCTTTAAAGGACAGGTATATATATATATCAGCCTAGCGATTGGTCAGTTTTTTTCACTTTAAACCAATCAAGTAGCTAAATGTACATGTGTGTCTTTGATTTTGTTATGACAAAAGAACACAAGCGAGTACCCCTGGAGTTTCGAGGAGGGGGTTTATTATTTGGCAATGATTCCTTGAGCTCGCTGTCTCAATCTACCACTGTGTTTAAAATATTCCTGTAAATCTAATGATTATCTTATATTTGTGTAACCCTGGTAAATACTAGCTGCAATATACCGCTCGGCTATAGAGAACTTCTCTTTAGCTCGATCGGTTGAGCGTAAGACCAGTAAGCCAGAGGTCCCGGGTTCGACTCCTAGCGGAGGCATTGAAAAAATAATGACCTCTGTTACATTGGCGCCCACGTAGGGACCCGGGTGAATTGACAAAATACTCAGCGCTAGCTATACTTGCGAAGGAATGGCTATGACCGTGACCCCTGGAAGCTCGAGGACGAGTTCTTCCCTGGAGGGGGAGTATGTAACCCTGGTAAATACTAGCTGCAATATACCGCTCGGCTATAGAGAACTTCTCTTTAGCTCGATCGGTTGAGCGTAAGACCAGTAAGCCAGAGGTCCCGGGTTCGACTCCTAGCGGAGGCATTGAAAAAATAATGACCTCTGTTACATTGGCGCCCACGTAGGGACCCGGGTGAATTGACAAAATACTCAGCGCTAGCTATACTTGCGAAGGAATGGCTATGACCGTGACCCCTGGAAGCTCGAGGACGAGTTCTTCCCTGGAGGGGGAGTATGTAACCCTGGTAAATACTAGCTGCAATATACCGCTCGGCTATAGAGAACTTCTCTTTAGCTCGATCGGTTGAGCGTAAGACCAGTAAGCCAGAGGTCCCGGGTTCGACTCCTAGCGGAGGCATTGAAAAAATAATGACCTCTGTTACATTTGTTACCTATATTGCAGATTTCCCCTGAAAGGTAATAATGGATGCAGAAAGAGATTTGGTTACCATGGCAACGGAGGCATTGCAAGCTCACACCCGATTGACTTACAAGTTACCTAGAACATCCAAAGGTAAGGTGAAGGTGCCCAGGAACGACATCGCTGAAGAGGTGTTCATCTCTTAAGAAAATAAAAATAAGTGTATACAACCTTCATCCGTCTATCCAAGCCACCAGTAGTGATCTTAAGGATCCCTGTCCCACAATGTTTATTTACACTACATTTACATTTACAGTAACCTCCCCTTAATTTTTTCTTGAATGTTATAAATCTGACTGTATTGTTATTTGGACAGATTGAGTAGCTCAATCAGTTAGCCCTGTAGTTTGATGATCTGAAGTCCAAACTGAGTGACTCAATCAGTTAGCCCCGTAGTATGATGATCTGAAGTCCAAACTGAGTGACTCAATCAGTTAGCCCCGTAGTATGATGATCTGAAATCCAGACTGGGTAACTCAATCAGTTAGCGCTGTAGTATGATGATCTGAAGTCCAAACTGAGTGACTCAATCAGTTAGCCCTATAGTATGATGATCTGAAGTCAGACTGGGTAACTCAATCTGTTAGCCCTGTAGTATGAGGATCTGAAGTCCAGACTTAGTAGCTCAATCAGTTAGCCCTGTAGTATGATGATCTGAAGTCCAGACTGGGTAGCTCAATCAGTTATCCCTGAAGTATGATGATCTGAAGTCCAGACTGAGTAGCTCAATCAGTTAGCCCTGTAGTATGATGATCTAAAGTCCAGACTGGGTAACTCAATCAGTTAGCCCTGAAGTATGATGATCTAAAGTCCAGACTGAGTAGCTCAATCAGTTAGCCCTGTAGTTTGATGATCTGAAGTCCAGACTGAGTAGCTCAATCAGTTAGCCCTGTAGTATGATGATCTGAAGTCCAGACTTTACATCCCAGTCTATTTCCACAAGATATGGTTTTCTTTTCAGAAATGATTTATTAACGCTATAGTCATGCATTGAAAAAACCTGGTTGCAATGCGTAGTTACAGCTGTACAGGGATCCTTAAATGACGATTGCACCAAATATGATTGTTTGTTTTTTTCAGTCCGCGAAAAAGCTTGCGAGACCTTAGACAATCTGAGAAGCATCAAGGCTGAACTGGATGGTTCAAATGTGGACTTTGACCCCCCACAAATCAAGCGTGACAAATTAACAGAATTTCGCCAGCTAACACTAATGCATATCCCCTCATCTGTGACGGAGGAGGTCCAGGTCAAATTCAACAATTTTGTCACGCATGCATTTAAAGGTATAAATTACTGACACTTTTTATCTGATACTTTTTTGTTACTTTCATACATGAGATATCTATCTATTGTTAGGACTTGACCTTATGTTTGTGTGTCAACTACTGTATTCATCTGGCAATAAGCCCATGCTCGGTAATAAGCCCATGCTCGGTAATAAGCCCATGCTCGGCAATAAGCTCACCAATGTATATTACAGCTAGGGAGAAATGCAAACAAAAGCTTTTTCATTGTCCTGTTATAAGCCTGTCCCCTACTGTCAGTCAGAGATTATGTGTTGGCCCCCTGGGCTTATTACAGGACAAATATGGTATGTACTTCAGTAGTTTTGAGGTTAGCTTGTTGATCCTGATCTTATATTACATCAATGGAGCCGATTATCCATCGAGTGTTAAATACAGGTTTGTTTATTGTATATTGGTAGTTCTATATACAGTTGAATTCCTGTTAACTCATTCACCCCTAAAATTTCATTATGAACTATTCCAACCTTTGAATTGGAAGAGTTCATGTGTCTTAAGGGGTGAATGAGTTAACACAGTCTGTACACTGTATCTGTTCAAGTTGTTGATCAGATAAACCTCCAAAAGTTTAACCTGCAAACTTCATGCGAATGATTTAGATAGTTATAGGCCTGTACTATGTACTGGGATATAACTGGTAGCCAGACAGTCAGTTCAGTAGCTTTTCTGTCATGTCAGTTATAAATTATTAATCTTGATAGCACGTAATGACATACAGTTATAAAACCTTGATATAATGGCCTTTGTGAGTTGTTTGATTTGCCTCCTCACTTATTGCAAATGCATCTCAAGATTCCCTTTTCCACTATTTAACTCTTTATTTATACATCAAGTTATTAATTCCGCAAGTGATCACCAAACTCCTCTGAATAAATGGTCCAGAAAAGGACCATGGAGGCACTATAGTCTAGTGGTAGGATGCCGAGCTCGTGACCGAAGGGTTGTGGGTTTGATTCATGGCACGGCACTGTGTTGTATCTTTGAGCTAGATACTTTACACCGCTTGTTCCAGTCTACTTAGCTGTAAATGAGTATGTGGTTGGGCTGTGCTAGAATTGTAGAATGCTACCTGTGAGTGCCGAAATAGCAGCACAGGCCGTATGCTTCCCAGGGAGTTGAGAAAGATATTGGTGGGTTGCAAAGGCCCTATAACCACGGATAATAATTTGTGAACTGCTTTGAGACGACCTACGAACTAGGCTGTGATAAAGCGGTATATAAGAACCTTGAATTATTATTATTATTATTATTATCATTATTTTGGTGTCAACGTTTCTTTCTGAACACTTTATTGATTATTAAATACAAGGCTAAGGCACTACTAAATTAAGTGGAATTTAATGTCTGCATCTGAATTAGTTGATCCTTTTTGCAGGTGCTTGTCGCAAGGTGTTGAGTGTGACCCTAGTTACCTGCCCTTGGTATCAAGTTACACAACAGGAAAGGGGAGAGAGGGCACGACATAATGTGATATTTATTGTGTACCTGTCCCACGACCTCCAATATATGGCACCGACCAATTATCACGACCAAGAGAAAGCTTTTGTCATAGATGAGGTAAGAGTCGAGGAAAGTTGAGTGTGACCCTAGTTACCTGCCCTTGGTTGTGTAGCTGTTCGTGGCTTCAAGGTTTCTTTTCTAATAACGATCAACACCTTCTTCAATTACAATAGTTTTTATTCCTTGGTTAGAAGACCCTAAAAACAGAAAATAACAACAAGTATTAACCTATCCTACCCTAGACATTCACATAATAGAACAGGCTATAACTTGTGTAAACGTAACAGGTTAACGCACCTGACAACTTTACGCTTAGCTGTACTACTACTAACTAAGAATACTGAACAACACAGTCACAATCATCTCAGATCAGCAGGGATGGTGAAAACAGACTTTCATGATGTGATGTTTATCATGTAATAATCACATTTATCACATAATGGACTGTGTTATCCAGTGAATATATGTCATATTTTTTGCATATTCACCCATGTAATATGAACTATCAGCCCTGTAAATTTCAATTGTGACGTCACGCCTAGGACAAGTACATGACGTCACAGACTTACGCACTGGAGTCAAAATGGTGGCTTTTTACATTTCAAGATTGCATGAAAATTGTTGTTTTACACGAATAAATGCCACAAATCTTGATTATGTGATAAAAAATATCTTACTCTCGTGTTCAATTCATAGAAAACTTATGAAACTCGTCACAAAGTTTTCATTGTAGCTTGCCAGAGGCTCACTAAATTGAATAATTCTTAGACTTGTTTCATAATTCTCATATGAAATGGAAAGTCATGTAAGATCCTATATGACTACCAATAGCTGGCACAGTCTCACGACCCAACAGTTATATACATGTACATGTAGATAATTACCAATGATGGACTTAAGTTGAGGTGAAGATGTGATTATATAGACCTGAGAAGGTGATATTGACCGAGCCGAAGTTGTGGTTGATATAACTTTCTCAGGACCATGTAACCATGTACATCTTCACAGAATCAAGTTTCTTAATTGTTATGTGAGATGCTGAATGATGTTTGAATCGTTAAATAAGATAAAATATAAGAAAATTTGAAAATAAGAAAATGCGGCATTTTGTAGGGAGCAATACAATCGATCTGATATCATAAAGTTAATAATACTTAAAATGGTAATACAGAGTCAGTATCACAAACCGCTGACCTCCACGTAATTATATCTACATTTGTGTTGTAGTCCCTCCAGATAACAGTACCAACTCAAAATGTTGTTATGATTCAATGAAAGCAAGTGTGTAGTAATATAACAGTACTACATGTACCGTTACATGACCTCTGACCTCACTATGTAAACAACAGTCAGCTCCCCTCCACACACGCACAAACAAACAAAATCTAAGATTCATTATCAACGGTTTAAAAACATCAATATATCTTATTAATCCTTTTTAGAACTTATCAACAAGAAATAGGTATGTTTAAATAAATTTAATTCTGCATATTCAGCGCCTAAAATCCAGCGTGTGCCAATTCCAGCCTAGATCTATGTCTTACAGCGATGTCACTGACGTGTCCCTACAATAACGTGCATCATGGAATAGGTTAGAACAGAACTGTGTTGCATACCCTCTTAAATGTTAAAAAGATGCATTTCAAACCTTCAAATGAACCAACCAATGACTTGAAGATGTAGGGTGACATCTGATATTTCTGATTATTATATATAATTTCCAGGGCTGGTTGTACGCCGTGGAACTCTACCATTTCCTTCACTTCCTGTCACGAGGAAGGACACGATGTATAGAGGTTCTGTTTGCCCCGAAATCTGCTGTTTTATACGAGGATGAGGCATGGAAAGATCTACGACAGCAGATGGATTATAAAGATTTGTTGAGTAAATATGACGGTTCTTTCTTACTGCAGTTGTTAATGCTCAAATGATATGAACATTTTCACAATTTGAAGCACAAACTTTTCCTTATGTCAAAGTATATGTAAATATCTTCATGTGTGAAAAGAAATATTCTGATGCTTGAAAATTAGAATTTTCATGTATGAAACCACCAACATTTCCAGATTTTTAGAACAAGCAGTTTAATAAATGCTTATTTTTTTTGGCCAAATATTAAGATCTTGGAATTTTCGAATTAAAACTAAGATTTTTTCCAACATTTCCAGGTTTGCAGGGGTCTGTGTGTTCCTGCCAAGGACAGTGTACAGGGAACATTGGAAAGAAAACGTCTAAAAAAGGACCTTTCAGACTAAGGGAAACGGCAACATTCCGGGACTTCTGTAATAGTTTTAGGTGCAGTATATATATTATACATTTCTGTAAGCTTTGATATCAAATAACGACCATCAAATACTGTATACTGGGAGGTCCCGCCGCAGTTTACCTTGCCCCTTATTCGCCCCAGGGACGACGAATTGATCATGTAGGCGAATGTTTGTACACAACATACACTGTATAGCGACATACTTGCCAACCCGCCCTATTTAGGAGGGAAACTCCCAATTTTGGACCCTTTAATACAGTATTTTTAACCAGTGAATTTGCTAAACTGTTCCTGTATTCCAAGACCTAATGATTTCATCTGAAAGAACAGCTCAAAATATGTCATAATAAAGGGTTATTTGGCTCTAGGGGGTGTATACACACATTTTGTTCATGTTTTAATTTTGAGCATGCCAAATCTCCCCATGGAAATTTCAAAAGGTTGGCAAGTATTTAGTTATTACATTGTACATGTAAAGGGCGAAATTAACACTGCGCAAACATTGAATTTGTTCGGCAAAGGTCGAATATTTGATATAGCGAAAGTTTCCCCGTATGTTGGTTGTTGAACCTCACATTGATGTTCCTCAGGTATTTGGAATGATGAAAAATATGTCTCCAGCCTCAAAAATTGCAACATTATGCATCCTATAGCCTATGGATAGTCTTTTTTTTTGCCGAAAAATGCTGAATAAAATGTTTAACATTCTTTTTTGTTGTATTCCAATACCTGAATTTGGAAATACACATTCCCATCTAAAATGAAATGTAACCCAAAATATTACAGAAAGTGTTCACTGTGCCTATCAGAATTTGAGAAAATTAAAAATGTATTGCCATGATCAGAAGTTGAATATGAATAAACCATCTTGTCTATACTGAGTTTTTTAAATTTTATTTCCAGGTTGATTCATCATCTCTTCAATTTGGTGTCTGGATTACCTCCCCTGACTGACGTATTTGCTGTAGAAGATTTACCAGCGTTGGCCAAAGAAGGTGCTGAAATGCTTCAAAGACTGTACAAGGTATGCAAATTATATATATTATTTTTTGACTCTATCATAATCGTTCTTTTTCCCAGTTTTCCTGATTTAAGAAATGAAAGATATCTTACCTAAATGTAATATTTCGATAGGCTTTTTCCTTGAGCAATGCATAAATGACAAGGAATTTTGCTCTCATTTGATAAGATGTCTGACGTGGAATTAAGTGTAAATGACGCCAGACGTTATAGGACGTTATTGAAGTCTGTAAGGACAAGATTTACACCAAACAGTACAGGACGTTATTGAAGTCTGTAAGGACAAGATTTACCCCAAACATTATAGGAAGTTATTGAAGTCTGTAAGGACAAGATTTACACCAAACGTTACAGGACGTTATTGAAGTCTGTAAGGACAAGATTTACACCAGACATTATAGGAAGTTATTGAAGTCTGTAAGGACAAGATTTACATCAAACATTACAGGACATTATTGAAGTCTGTAAGGACAAGATTTACATCAAACATTACAGGACGTTGTTGAAGTCTGTAAGGACAATATTTACACCAAACATTATAGGACGTTATTGAAGTCAGTAAGGACAAGATTTACACCAAACATTATCGTTATTGAAGTCTGTAAGGACGAAATTTACACCAAACATTACAGGACGTTATTGAAATCTGTAAGGACAAGATTTACACCAACCATTACAGGACGTCATTGAAGTCTGTAAGGACAAGATTTACATCAAACATTACAGGACGTTGTTGAAGTCTGAAAGGACAATATTTACACCAAACATTATAGGACGTTATTGAAATTTGTCAGGATAAGATTTACACCAAACATTATAGGACGTTATTGAAGTCTGTAAGGACAAGATTTACACCAAACATTACAGGACGTTATTGAAGTCTGTAAGGACGAAATTTACACCAAACATTACAGGACGTTATTGAAGTCTGTAAGGACAAGATTTACACCAAACATTATAGGAAGTTATTGAAGTCTGTAAGGACAAGATTTACATCAAACATTACAGGACGTTGTTGAAGTCTGTAAGGACAATATTTACACCAAACATTATAGGACGTTATTGAAGTCTGTAAGGACAAGATTTACACCAAACATTACAGGAAGTTATTGAAGTCTGTAAGAACAAGATTTACACCAAACATTACAGGACGTTATTGAAGTCTGTAAGGACAAGATTTACACCAAACATTACAGGACGTTATTGAAGTCTGTAAGGACAAGATTTACACCAAACATTACAGGACGTTATTGAAGTCTGTAAGGACAAGATTTACACCAAACATTACAGGACGTTATTGAAGTCTGTAAGGACAAGATTTACACCAAACATTACAGGACGTTATTGAAGTCTGTAAGGACAAGATTTACACCAAACATTACAGGACGTTATTGAAGTCTGTAAGGACAAGATTTACACCAAACATTACAGGACGTTATTGAAGTCTGTAAGGACAAGATTTACACCAAACATTACAGGACGTTATTGAAGTCTGTAAGGACAAGATTTACACCAAACATTACAGGACGTTATTGAAGTCTGTAAGGACAAGATTTACACCAAACATTACAGGACGTTATTGAAGTCTGTAAGGACAAGATTTACACCAAACATTACAGGACGTTATTGAAGTCTGTAAGGACAAGATTTACACCAAACATTACAGGACGTTATTGAAGTCTGTAAGGACAAGATTTACACCAAACATTACAGGACGTTATTGAAGTCTGTAAGGACAAGATTTACACCAAACATTACAGGACGTTATTGAAGTCTGTAAGGACAAGATTTACACCAAACATTACAGGACGTTATTGAAGTCTGTAAGGACAAGATTTACACCAAACATTACAGGACGTTATTGAAGTCTGTAAGGACAAGATTTACACCAAACATTACAGGACGTTATTGAAGTCTGTAAGGACAAGATTTACACCAAACATTACAGGACGTTATTGAAGTCTGTAAGGACAAGATTTACACCAAACATTACAGGACGTTATTGAAGTCTGTAAGGACAAGATTTACACCAAACATTACAGGACGTTATTGAAGTCTGTAAGGACAAGATTTACACCAAACATTACAGGACGTTATTGAAGTCTGTAAGGACAAGATTTACACCAAACATTACAGGACGTTATTGAAGTCTGTAAGGACAAGATTTACACCAAACATTACAGGACGTTATTGAAGTCTGTAAGGACAAGATTTACACCAAACATTACAGGACGTTATTGAAGTCTGTAAGGACAAGATTTACACCAAACATTACAGGACGTTATTGAAGTCTGTAAGGACAAGATTTACACCAAACATTACAGGACGTTATTGAAGTCTGTAAGGACAAGATTTACACCAAACATTACAGGACGTTATTGAAGTCTGTAAGGACAAGATTTACACCAAACATTACAGGACGTTATTGAAGTCTGTAAGGACAAGATTTACACCAAACATTACAGGACGTTATTGAAGTCTGTAAGGACAAGATTTACACCAAACATTACAGGACGTTATTGAAGTCTGTAAGGACAAGATTTACACCAAACATTACAGGACGTTATTGAAGTCTGTAAGGACAAGATTTACACCAAACATTACAGGACGTTATTGAAGTCTGTAAGGACAAGATTTACACCAAACATTACAGGACGTTATTGAAGTCTGTAAGGACAAGATTTACACCAAACATTACAGGACGTTATTGAAGTCTGTAAGGACAAGATTTACACCAAACATTACAGGACGTTATTGAAGTATGTAAGGACAAGATTTACACCAAACATTACAGGACGTTATTGAAGTTTGTAAGGACAAGATTTACACCAAACATTATAGGACGTTATTGAAATTTGTCAGGATAAGATTTACACCAAACATTATAGGACGTTATTGAAGTTTGTAAGGACAAGATTTACATCAAACATTACAGGACGTTATTGAAATTTGTCAGGATAAGATTTACACCAAACATTATAGGAAGTTATTGAAATTTGTCAGGATAAGATTTACACCAAACATTACAGGACGTCATTGAAGTATGTAAGGACAAGATTTACACCAAACATTACAGGACGTTATTGAAGTATGTAAGGACAAGATTTACACTAAACATTACAGGACGTTATTGAAGTATGTAAGGACAAGATTTACCCCAAACATTACAGGATGTTATTGAAGTCTGTAATGACAAGATTTACACCAAACATTACATGATGTTATTGAAGTCTGTAAGGACAAGATTACACCAAACATTACAGGATGTTATTGAAGTCTGTAAGGACAAGATTACACCAAACATTACAGGATGTTATTGAAGTCTGTAAAGACAAGATTTACATCAAACATTACAGGACGTTATTGAAATTTGTCAGGATAAGATTTCCACCAAACATTATAGGACGTTATTGAAGTTTGTAAGGACAAGATTTACATCAAACATTATAGGACGTTATTGAAGTCTGTAAGGACAAGATTTACACCTAACATTACAGGACGTTATTGAAGTCTGTAAAGACATGATTTACACCAAACATATAGGACGTTATTGAATTTGTCAGGATAAGATTTACACCAAACATTATAGGAAGTTATTGAAGTCAGTAAGGACAAGATTTACATCAAACATTACAGGACGTTATTGAAGTCAGTAAGGACAAGATTTACACCAAACATTATAGGAAGTTATTGAAGTCTGTAAGGACAAGATTTACATCAAACATTACAGGACGTTATTGAAGTCAGTAAGGACAAGATTTACATCAAACATTATAGGACGTTATTGAAGTCTGTAAGGACAAGATTTACCCTAAACAATACAGGACGTTATTGAAGTCTGTAAGGACAAGATTTACACCTAACATTACAGGACGTTATTGAAGTCTGTAAGGACAAGATTTACCCTAAACAATACAGGACGTTATTGAAGTCTGTAAAGACATGATTTACACCAAACATATAGGACGTTATTGAATTTGTCAGGATAAGATTTACACCAAACATTATAGGTCGTTATTGAAGTTTGTAAGGACAAGATTTACATCAAACATTACAGGACGTTATTGAAGTCTGTAAGGACAAGATTTACAGCAAACATTATAGGACGTTATTGAAGTCTGTAAGGACAAGATTTACCCTAAACAATACAGGACGTTATTGAAGTCTGTAAAGACAAGATTTACACCAAACATATAGGACGTTATTGAATTTGTCAGGATAAGATTTACACCAAACATTACAGGACGTCATTGAAGTATGTAAGGACAAGATTTACACTAAACATTACAGGACGTTATTGAAGTATGTAAGGACAAGATTTACCCCAAACATTACAGGATGTTATTGAAGTCTGTAAAGACAAGATTTAAACCAAACATTATAGGACGTTATTGAAGTCTGTAAGGACAAGATTTACCCTAAACAATACAGGACGTTATTGAAGTCTGTAAAGACAAGATTTACACCAAACATTACAGGACGTTATTGAAGTCTGTAAAGACAAGATTTACACTAAACATTACAGGACGTTATTGAAGTCTGTAAGGACAAGATTTACACTAAACAATACAGGACGTTATTGAAGTCTGTAAAGACAAGATTTACACCAAACATATAGGACGTTATTGAAGACTGTAAAGACAGCTTTCACTGTATAGTCACTGTGGTAATAGGTTAATTGGTTTCTTGTATTTAACTAGGATCAGGATACGTCAAAACGAGACATTTTCAACATTGTCATGAAATGGAATGAGGAGGTCAAAGGTCAACTATCTAAATTGAAGTATACAAATGTAAACAAGATTGAGGCGATCATCCAGAAATGGCAGTTCGCTGTTCGCCTGGAGGGTCGAACACTTGTACAGCAAGGTAAGATAACATACCAGTTAAAATCAATTGTCTCAATGGCTAAGAGTGGTCTCTTAATGGTTAAGAGTGGTCTCTCAATGGCTAAGAGCAGTCTCTCAATGGCTCAGAGCAGTCTCTCAATGGCTCAGAGTGGTCTCTCATTGGCTAAGAATGTTCTCTCAATGGCCAAGAGTGGTCTCTCAGTGGCCAAGAGTGGTCCCTCAATGGCTAAGAGTGGTTTCTCAATGGCTAAGAGCAGTCTCTCAATGGCTAAGAGTGGTCTCTTAATGGTTAAGATTGGTCTCTCAATGGCTCAGAGCGGTCTCTCATTGGCTAAGAGTGTTCTCTCAATGACCAAGAGTGGTCTCTCAATGGCCAAGAGTTGTCTCTCAATGGCTAAGAGTGGTCCCTCAATGGCTAAGAGTAGTTTGTCAATGGCTAAGAGCAGTCTCTCAATGTCTAAGAGTGGTCTCTTAATGGTTAAGATTTGTCTCTCAATGGCTCACAGCGGTCTCTCATTGGCTAAGAGTGCTCTCTCAATGACCAAGAGTGGTCTCTCTATGGCCAAGATTTGTCTCTCAATGGCTAAGAGTGGTCCCTCAATGGCTAAGAGTAGTTTCTCAATGGCTAAGAGCAGTCTCTCAATGGATAAGAGTTGATTCTTAATGGTTAAGATTTGTCTCTCAATGGCTCAGAGCGGTCTCTCATTGGCTAAGAGTGGTCTCTCAATGGCCAAGAGTTGTCTCTCAATGGCTAAGAGTGGTCCCTCAATGGCTAAGAGTAGTTTCTCAATGGCTAAGAGCAGTCTCTCAATGGCTAAGAGTGGTCTCTTAATGGTTAAGATTGGTCTCTCAATGGCTCAGAGCGGTCTCTCATTGGCTAAGAGTGTTCTCTCAATGACGAAGAGTGGTCTCTCAATGGCCAAGAGTTGTCTCTCAATGGCCAAGAGTGGTCCCTCAATGGCTAAGAGTAGTTTCTCAATGGCTAAGAGCAGTCTCTCAATGGCTAAGAGTGGTCTCTTAATGGTTAAGATTTGTCTCTCAATGGCTCAGAGCGGTCTCTCATTGGCTAAGAGTGTTCTCTCAATGACGAAGAGTGGTCTCTCAATGGCCAAGAGTTGTCTCTCAATGGCTAAGAGTGGTCCCTCAATGGCTATGAGTGGTTTCTCAATGGCTAAGAGCAGTTTCTTAATGGCTCAGATTGGTCTCTCAATGGCTAAGAGTGGTCTCTCAATGGCTCAGAGCAGTCTCTCATTGGCTAAGAGTGGTCTTTCAATGGCTAAGAGTGGTCTCTCAATGTCTTAGAGTGGTCTGTCAATGGCTAAAAGTGGTCTCTCAATGGCCAAGAGTGGTCTCTCAATGGCCTAGAGTGGTCTCTCAATGGCCAAGAGTGGTCTCTCAATGACTTTGAGTGGTCTCTTAATGGCTAATAGTGGTCCCTCAATGGCCAAGAGTGGTCTCTCAATGGCCAAGAGTTGTCTCTCAATGGCTAAGAGTGATTTCTCAATGGCTTAGAGTGGTCTCTCAAATGGCTAAGAGTGGTCTCTCAATGGCTAAGAGTGGTCTCTCAATGGCCAAGAGTGGTCTCTCAATGGCCAAGAGTGGTCTATCAATTGCTAAGAGTGTTATCTCAATGGCTTAGAGTGGTCTCTCAATGGCCAAGAGTTGTGTCTCAATGGCTAAGAGTGGTCCCTCAATGGCTAAGAGTGGTTTCTCAATGGCTAAGAGCAGTTTCTTAATGGCTCAGAGTGGTCTCTCAATGGCTAAGAGTGATCTTTCAATGGCTAAGAGTGGTCTCTCAATGTCTTAGAGTGGTCTCTCAATGGCTAAAAGTGGTCTCTCAATGGCCAAGAGTGGTCTCTCAATGGCTTAGAGTGGTCTCTCAGTGGCCAAGAGTGGTCTCTCAATGGCTAAGAATGGTATCTCAATGGCCAAGAGTGGTCTCTCAATCGCTTTGAGTGGTCTTTCAATGGCTAAGAGTGGTCTCTCAATGGCCAAAAATGGTCTCTCAATGGCTTAGAGTGGTCTCTCAATGGCTAACAGTGGTCCATAATCAGCAAACAGTAGTTCCCAAAAGCTAACAAAATTATTTTGTATGCTAACCTTACCTACAAATTACACGTTATTCCACAGTTGTTCCACATTTCCTCTGCATTGTAAATTTCACACTTTTCCACAAATGTGGAGTATTCGCAATTCCACAAATGCGTAAAAAATGCGTAAATATTGAAAAACTGAAATTTTAGGCACTTGCATAGAATATTTCTGAATGCGTAAAAAAAAATCCACAAATTTTACACGCTGGCGTCTATTACTGAATAATATAAGGTTACTGGAATTTGGACTATTAAAATTTTGGAAACTACTACAACTGTTATTCAAAATTAATTTCCAGCCCTGAACAAATAAAACTGGTGACAGCGTAAAGGATCACCCTTTCTTATTAGTATTTGTAGTTGTGAGCAGAGTTACAGTGTGTATATAAGATGACTTCTATTTTTGTTGTAGCCCTCCCTGATGATCACAGTGGCCTGTTGTCCATAATGGAGAGAATCGGCGGACCAGTGGGAAAGTTGGAGCCAAGCCAGATCCTGCTGGTGGCCAGAGCAGGGAGCCACATGTATGGGCTGGCCACGCCGGAGAGTGATATTGATTACGTAGTCATTTACGCTGAGAAAACAGAGGTAAACATTGAAAATCCAGGGAAATCTGGACGTTTAAATTTTTTTTTTTATACCGTAATGATTTTTTTCTTTTTTTTCTTGACAAACTTTCGTTTAACGGTTATTTATTTCCAGATCTAAGATATTGTTAACTGGAAATTTTTCACGGTGTGGAAATGTTTATGTTTTTGCCTTGCATAGTTGGCAAGAAAATATCCACACACGAATATTTATTTTCAGATTATATATAAAGATAAATTGAATATTCAAATTTTAAAACTATTGCAAACACAATGCAAAAAATTCCAAATTGTGATCAGTTTTAAACGGTCACAACGCGAACATTTCCGCACGAAAATGTCCTATTTTACAGTACATATACATATAGTGATTGCCCCTGCTCTTCCTACGGTCTGCCCAAGTGTTTTTGGAACATATTTTTTAATATCTCGTTAAATATCGCAATTCATGATGTTCTTTATCTATCTATTAGCGTCTATTATTTTTATTATGAAAGTACGAAAGTAAGTGATCCCTTATGGTTATCTGCCCTTGCTATTGTAGGCCGTGCTCGGAACATGTAAGGCACTGAAGGACAGTTTTGAGAATCGCGGTCCCACCAAGGACTTTGAGTATGGGGCGTACGAGGCCAAGGTGTTTAGTGAGATGGTGCTAAAGGGAAGTGTGGTGATACTGGAGGTGAGGGACCAATACATAGATCAAACGCTGTAACGTTTAGATAGCTTTTAACACAACAAGAAAAGTAGTTTTTAATAAAAGATTTTTTTTCTATATTGATCTATCACCAGTATTTAAGCATTTCATGATAAAATTCTGGACTTGAAGTGAAAAAATCTGCTATAGAATGAAAAGAACTACAAATCAAATAAAATCCTTATTTTACATGAAAATGGTATTAGAAATCATAGTTTTGGTTCATGCTTTATTGCAGCTGGTGTTTGCTGAAGGCCATGAATACACTAGCCCACTATGGAAGGTAAGGCCAAAAATAATGTTTGTTTCAGGTGCCCCGACAGATCGTAGATTGTACCTCCGACCCTAACAATTTTATCTCACTCGAACACACTCAATCCATGGTTGGGATAATTTAACCACTGGATGCAAACAAATAGATGGACAAATATAGGCAACTATATATATACCCTCTCTACCTCACAAGTAGGTATCAGAACCATATTTAAAAATCATATCATTATTGAAAAGATCAAAGAATATGTTTTGTGATTTTTGTAATTTCTTCAATTATCTCCCCCACTCCCCAACACTTAGGCAAATTAGCCCCTCAACCCCAACCCTTCATAAGATAAAAAAATAAAATGTTTTTTTCCCTGTACCGTAACCTAAAACAAACATAATTTTTGTTTGTCCAAAAAATAAAGCTTGTGATAAATTGTTTTCCAATTTCCTGTTTACTTATGGATTTAGACTCGTTCTATTTCCTTTCGCATTCATAACATCCAACAGTCAAAAAAATATCCAAACAAACTAACTCCCTACTTTCATTTACATAATCTGTTTAGCAGGAAATCCATTTTGCTACATGATTTGTAGGCACATTAAAATTGTATAATAGATTGAGAACAATGTTTTCCATTCATTTTATCATTAAATACTGTAATTTTGTGAACGATTTAGCCATGCATTGCTGTATATAAGGGGCGTGAAGGGTTACATTGATATAGGAAAACTTGTTTACCTTTGGGGAACTACATTTTGTATCAAGTTCCAGCCTGAAGGCCGCAATGCAATATTGGTGAAAACACATATTACAAACGACTTAACTATGTTTAATTCAGTGACGGATAGATGGATTGATTTCCTTATTTTACCCCCCAGACTTTGATTGAGAAGAAGAAAGCTTTCCTGACTGAGATAGGTATCCAGCAATTCCTTGGTTTGATCAAAAACAACTTCCATCTGTTAGACCAGGAAAAACACAGAGGCACCCCAAGAGACCGAAAACTGTTTTACCAGGTAAATATATGAGCAATGCATAAAACACAGAGGTGCACTGAACAGTAAGACAGCTGTTAACATCAAACAATTTATACATAGAATCCTGAGGTGTTCCGAGGGGCTGACACACCTTCTATGAGATACGTTGTACTTCCTGAGATTTTGAAATTTCTATGGGGGAGTTTACGCTTGCTCAGTTTTAAAAGCTTAATAAAAATGTGTGTATGTTTATCCTAGGAGAAAAAATAACACTTTTAAATGGCATCTTTTGAGCTGTTCTCCCTAAAAAAAATAGGGAAAGTTAGTAAGGATGAGAGGGAGATCGATAAATATTTGTCAAACATTAGGGAGGGAGTCTCTCCTAATCACAGAGGGTTGACAAATTAAAATTCCAATGAAATCTGGCACTTTTCCATCCAATTTAAGCGAAAAAAAATTCAGAAAGTTACTAAAATAAAGGACTTGTAATTTCACCTCTACTGAGTTCAGATATAAACCCAAACAACAGTAATGGGTAGGTTCCCAGAGTTCAAAGGAAAATAGTACTGAAGGTATATATCTGGCTAACTGATCCTACGTGTTGCTTTCTGCTGTAGATATTTCACAAGATGGACAGCATCCGGTACATGATGCAGGGGGACATTCCGCCGATACGCTGTTCTGGTGAGGTGAAGGACTATATCATGAGGATACGTACTCAGCCACTCAACGTAAATAATCAACTTCAATATCGTCTTATTTGCATGTGTTAGCAATAGCACTGAAAAGGGGCCACGGTGACCCAAGTGGTTAACCCTTTCACCCCTATGTAACTTTAGTAGACTCTACCGTGCATTGACCTGGGTGAATCCATTATGGTCTACAGTGGTGAAAGGGTTAAGGCGTCTGGCCTTTCTGCTAGTCCTCCATCACTGGGTCACAGGTTCGAGACCTATGTAAGTCAGTTGCCAGGTACTGGCCGTAGATTGGTGGTTTTTCTCCAGGAAATCTGGCTTTTCCCCCACCACCAAAACCTGGCACATCCTTAAATGACCATAGCTGTTAATAGAACATAAAACCAATAGGATTGAACAGCAGGAAAAACCTAAGGAGTCGGGACCCAAATCAGATCACTACCCAAATAGGATCATTCTTTGCAAAAAATACTTTTTAACCAATAAATGTGTCAATAGTTAAGTAATGACAATGATGTCCTTATAATACATACTTATGCATTGTTTTTTGTCAAAATCTAGTTTTTATGTCACCTGTAGGGCCGCAAGAACAATGTATTTTTGTTTCCGACTGTAGGAATGAATTCAGACTATCTATGGAAATCAATGAGTATTCAAAAGAGTATGCATTTAACTAGGGAAGGGAGTACCTAAAACCTTGTCCAGTATACTAGACAATAGGGAAGGGAGTACCCAAAACCTTGTCCAGTATACTAGACAATAGGGAAGGGAGT